GTTTCGTCCTTTTGCGCTATAATAAACATTTGAGGGAAATTAATTTAATTTTGATTTTCGATTTATTCTTCTTAATTATTTCAATTACTGCATTTCTAATTGCATTACACTTGTTGCAATTTATCAATCAATGCCGCAACCAGTCGACCGCGTAACCGAGAGCAACCAAGAAACACAGTTCAGTTCGCTTCCCTTTAAATATGTAAAACAAAGAAAACACTATTTGCGTTTCTAATTGAATTTCGAGTGACGATGGTTTGACGGTTGTCCTTAGCTTAGAGCAATACGAACTCCACTAATGGAAGGGAGTATATTTTTAACAAAACGTTTATATTTTATATGTTTTACCATCAGACTTTTTAAAGAATAAGGAGAAGGATTTGGAATTCTAAAAAAAATCGTCTTTAAAAAAAAGAGACTTAGTTTTGCGTGCTCATCAGGTTTTGACAACACAGCGCTTGAGTTTCATTGAAAGTACAGAACGTGCGGAGAGGGCGAGATTCGAAGCGCAAAAGATGCGAAGAGTGTGGTATTGATATATACGACGACATAAACATGGTTCAGCGTATCCAGAGACCTCCGTTCCGTTACCTGTTGATCTAAATGGAGTTGGGTCGTCACAACCCTTGACCATTTACCGTGCGTAGAACCGACAGTCGTGAGAGCTAGCAATTAACACAGCTATTTGGGCGCCATGGACTAACGAGACATATACAGGCAAGGTAAACGTCATTCACCGAGAGTCCGTCGACATCTTCCTGAACTCTCTTACAGTACAGACGAAGAGCTTGAGTTACCGTCAGAGTGCCGCACATTACTGGTGCAACTGAGATGTAGATATTGTAGTGAAATTAATTCCCATCTGTGCAAACTTGACCCCGACATACCCAACGTATGTCCTATATGCAGTGACTGCTCTCTAAAACCCCATTTCATAAAGTCCGAATCTATCAAAACAGCACGATTCCTGGACCTTCCGTTAGTTGCTGCTAAGAGGGGCTAGTGAAACACTGCAACGAAAACAAAAACAACCGCTTTGCATCGTTGGAAGAATAAAGTGAAAAATAAACAGTCTTCACTTGGTATCTCTGGTTGGCTACAAATAAAGCGACTGCCGTTAACATAATGACAAGAAAGAAGAAGAAATATTCAATAAAAATGCACAAATTTAAAGTATTTACTTAATTATTAATTTTTTTTTCCTTTTTTTTGTTACCTAAAGTCTTAAAAAAAAAAAAAAAATTAAAATAATATTCATAAGCAGTTCAAGAGCCTCCCTTAAATCATTTAATTAAAGTTTTCGTGTATTTTTTTTTTTTTTTTGATAATTTTTCTCATTTATAATGAAGTCGTTAAATTGTAATAAGACATAAATCATCTTTGTTGTAAACATTTCCACCTTTCGGCCTTAACTATAATCCATTATCTTACTCATTAACAAAGGCATTTTAATATTTAAGAATTTCACAGCTTTAGTGAAGGTAATGAATAGCGGCCCAACAAATCAGCCGGTGCTCAGACAAACCAGCTGCAATCTTTCCTCTACTGCACAATTTTCGTTGAAGAATAATATACCTAAAGAAGGAGGTAATGAGAGGTGAATGGCGAGAGATAAATAAACAGTTTATTTCGCTCGTTAAGCCAAGGTGCAGCTTTCAACGCCTGCTTTAAAGGATATAGCGCAATACTAAGCGAAGCGAAAAAAAAAATTCATTAAAAACTACCAATGTTTAGCCACCACAAACAATGAAATTTCCCCATTTTCGCCCATTCTTTCATCCCTGCCTACGGATTTTCTCTTAGCTTTTCATTCCTTCTGTACTTTTTAAGTAAATAAAATACTTTTTAATATAATGTTACGCATATACATATACGTATGAATGTATGTATAAGTGTATAACAACAAATAACGCCAGCTCTAAAAATAAGACTTCTTTCTATATAATCATGTAATATATATGTAACTACATACATATATACTTATATCTATTTGTATGCGTGCTATCTTAATTTTTGCACTTGAAGTGCCGGAAGAAGTTGTAGCTAAGAAATGCAGTTCCGACTTTTTTTTATAGCATATATATATATATATATACTCCTTTATATACATATCTATACACACACTTGTGTCCAAGCACCTAGGTATCATTACTTTAGCCAACAGCAAGCTTAGTTGGACGCCCTTGGCGCTAAGTGTAGCTGTTGTTGCAGGCGCCAAGATTGATTATACCCAAAAGTTGCTTTCAACAAATGCTTGAAGTATAAATTAAAATGGCTTCAGTCCAAGAACACGTATAGAAATAGCAAGTAAAGAAATGCACAAAGTCAGCGGTTGCACTACAGAGAGGAAGAAGCAAAAGAAAAATGAAGGTGTAGCTATAAAAACAAAAATACAATCTTATCAAAGTGTGTGAAGATGCAGTGTAGAATGTTATGTATGTATATATTTACAGGTAAAAAACACACTGGTATGCTGGTAGTGAAGAAATTGTTTGTATATAACAAACGGAAATTAAGAAAACTGGCAAATGTTTTCATATTTCTTTACCTCCCAATTTTCTTTTCTGTTTTTTTTTTTTGCGGGAGTAGAGTGAAGAGCAATGTAGCTCTGTATATAATAAAATACGTATGCATGCATGGTATGCATGTTTGTAGTGTTTATACATATGTATGTAGGAAAATATTGAAACTCGGAGCTGAAAACCGAGAGGTCTATATGAAAAAAAATATTTTATCCCTAATTTGAACACAGGCTTTATGAAACTGAACTAAATGCAGTTTTGAGAAACGATGCTGAGTTTTATTTTTATTTTTAGTATTTTTTAATATATTTATACCTTAGCTTGCATTTAAATCAAAGACTCCAAACCTATATTTTTTTCTTGTCTTTCGGGAGTCTATTGAGTAGAATACCAGTTGATTGGAGCCTTTTAGTTACAATAAGGAGCTAGACATAACTTAGACATATAACTTATGTAAACTGACGTTAAGCAACACAAAGAGATCTTCGAGCCGTTCGTCGTTACTAAACGAGGCTTCAGTTAAGGTGATTTCTTATCGCATGACTTTATTAATCTATTGCTTCAGCTCGTATAGAGAGAAAGTACAGTTTTCTATAAAAGTGTGCAGCTGCTGGCGTACATCGATCATATTGACATTATTGGTCTCAACTGAGTGGATGAGGCAGTGAACGAGGGCAAGTCGCAACATCTTCTATCATGATCAAACAAACAGTCATTGTCATATCGTCTATCTATCTATCTATCGAACCAGTATTAACACCAACAATAATGTCAGCCTTAAAATCCTCTGCCAACAGGTGCTATTTTGGACTGTGTACAAGTCGCTCGTCGTTTCCGTTCTGTAATATGGTGCAATGGTAATACCAAAATACCAGCAGTCGTTGGAACGATGAGCTGTACGAGTTATAAGGCAACAGTGATTTAGTTCAGCGAATCAAGAAGCAGCGTCTGCACTGATCGCTGGTGGAAGCAGAGCATAAAAACATACAAAAGCGCACAAAATTTATGAAAATTCTGAAATATTTCTTCGGATGAGACTATAAAATCAATGAGTCAATAAATGGAAAAACTCTACCCATCGGACATAAACTTGTAGACTGACTCCACATCATCGTGGAAAGCCGTTAAAGACACGTTATTTTTTTAATTGTTATTTTATTGCTAAGAGAGCATGAGAAAATAATTTTAAGCAGAGATGTATGACTAACGACGAAATGTTAATTTAGTGCATCATTTAAGTTTGCAAATAAAGTCACTTCCGCCCACAAGACAACCTTTATTATGAATCTTGGGTAGCTTGTGTTAAATGAGAGTTTCGCTTTGATTATTGTCAACAGCTTTATTTATCTTTGGAACACTCAAAAGAATCTCATCATTCCTTCTTTTGCATTGCAGAACCAAGCAGCTTCGATTTGAGTGCGTAAATAACCAGGCGCCAAAGGACTCCATATTCATAATGGACCATCAGCTCACTCGTGACCTCACAATAATGTCTGAGCTTTTGCTACAATAGAAAATCATAGGATTTATTGCATGAAGTTGGCACTCGTAACTGGATTCATATTTCGAGCATTTTTATATGCACATTTGTGTCTTTCCATGTGTACCAAAATCAGTATAGGAAGATAATCACGAAGGAGGCAGCATAAATAGAAACAGTGTGTACGTGTTGCGCTCTTCGATGCCGGTATTACTGCAATCGGTAACAAAAGCAGCAACCACTTGAGAAAGTATGCAAGTTGTTAGGTACTCACAGGCAAATGGGGGCAAGTGGAATACTAATACTTAGCATATGGTAAAAGCAATGGTATTTTTGAATATTTGTACATTATCTACACTCTACATGTACGTTGTGATTTCAAGAGAATTCTGCTAATTTTGTTATTGGTGTACCAAAGCCAACTGATAATGCAGCAAAATGCTAAATCGGAGATTTGTAAACCATTTACTTATTTGGCTAAAATTTCCAAAACTCAAAGGTCGTTATCATGGCAGTGCTAAAATGGTAATTAAAACGTTGTCCTATTAATATGAATAATTGACAAAGATTTTGCTGTTGCAAGATAAGCAATATTTCTCACTCGTTTTGCATGCGATACTCGACTAAATGGTTATATAAGTAAGAGCTTGTAAAGTGCAAGGAGAGACAAGTTAATAGATTGTTATTATTATATTGTAACTCTAATAACGAAAATACAAGATCACCTTCAACCATCATATTCAAGTGAACGTCATGACTAATTCGGAAGACAACACCTCTCACGAAATCCCCATCTCTCGAAAACTCTTAGTCCCTGCGCCGTCATCGTCCAAGTCTTCGCAAGGCAGAACAGAATGGGTGTGCTGAGCCAACAAACTTTGATATATCTTCTTCAGTGGTAATCAAGATAAGAAAAACGGTCTAAAAACTCGATGCTAGCAAGCCTGACAACTTCAAAGAGCATGTCATTTTAATGAAACTGCTTTACGGTATTTATTTTTATTGTGTTTATTATTAATATTTAATGGTTTTAAGTCTCAGTTACCTACTTAATGTTATGCTTAACAAACTTACAAATATATAAAGACCAGAAAGTTTCCGGATATTGTTTTTTTCGATATTCGCTGTTTGGTTCATCACGAATTCAGAATAGTCAATAACAAGCGTCTTGAGGCTTTTGCGGAAAAAATAAAATAAAAGGTTCCCTTAACAATAAAAGTGCTGGCGAACAGTTTAAATGTCAATTTCCGGAAACTTTCTATTTTTAATGTACATATTATGTTGGTATATATACATACTCGTAAGCTAAATCAAGCTAAACTTCAAAATAGCCCAGATGTAAATAATTAGGCAGAATTTGAAGTAATTCATCGACATATTCTTTGTCAAATATTTTAAGATGATAATCCTCACCGGAAGCGAATGTATCTGGTGAGAACTCGCCCCTAATGAATTTCGGCCACATTGGTAAGAAAGTTATCATAATGAACAGTTCTAGGGAAGAGAAGTAATGTAATGAGCAAACTATTTTATTTCGCTCTCACACATATAAACTTACCCACATATCTACTATGGAATAATTGCTCACGGAACTTATTCAAACTCGGCATGGGACCTTCGAAACCAATTTTTTTTAGAGTTTCTTTGAATGTTGCGAAATAGTGATGTAGAAATTCTGGTGCTTGCGGCCGCAACTTATCATCCAAAAACATAAAGATTGAATAGATAAGATCACTAGTAATTGGGCCGACATGAGAGAATTGAAAATCCAAGAGCATAACATCTTCAAATTTTCCACTCTCCGTATTGTGCTTAAACATCATATTTTTAAGATGATAATCGCCATGGTTCAGTACATAGTAAGCATCTTCACGTGGTCCATCGCGATACTCTCTGAAAGAGCTTATTGTTTCGTCAAGCAAATTAACTTTCTCAAAGAGATTCTCCAAATGCGGCACATATTCTTGCAGCTCTGGTGTTTTATGGACAAAATTCATAAAAGCTTTTGTGCTGTTCGCAAAGAAAGTATTCTCTTTTGCGCTATCGTGCGAAAAAATACTGTTGCGATATTCGTCAAAAAAGTGCGGATCCTATGTTGGGATTTAATTTATTGAAATTTAACACTGAAATAAATATTATTGTAATATCACTCACCTCTTTCAATAACTTGTAGCTGATGCCATGCCATTTGGCTAATTTAGCGTAAGCGGCCTTCACTTCCTTCGGATTGGGAAATCGAGCGCGCATTACATTATAACCAAGCGGCACGATATCCTCGAATACGATCACTTTATGAGGCGTCAGTTCATGGTACAGAAAACTACACAAAATGATTTATAAAATTAATAAATATTATGTTATACCGAAGTTTTTTTTCCTTTCTGGCACATAATTCACTTATGAAGTGCTTATTATAGTAGGAAAAAGCTTAATTTTTATGTGGATACATCATAAGTTAACCAGCTAGCATCAAAAAAGTTATAAATATGCATACGGGTACATCACTTCTCTTCGAGGGAAAGTCATAAGATTACTTCTTCCTCTTTAAAAAAAAATCTATCATCCTTTTGGAGATGACGAGACGACGAGATATTCACCACGGATTGAGCGAGATGCTGAACGGAAAATCTCTTGAGTTTCTATAGTTCTCGGACAAGCCGTGAAAAATAGTTTCCCTCTCTGAGATTTATCGGAATTCAAAATGGATTCTGGTTCTTGCCGATTATTTAGCCAGGACTAGCCGTAATAAAATATGTCAGAAATATATTTTGAGTTTTATGTATCTACACCGACTAAACATATTTTGAAAATTATAAACATTGCTGGCCGAATTCGCGCACAGCAGACAATTCGATGAACATTATAAAATTAATTCGCATCCATTATTTAGCAAATGTACATTACTTCAATATGGAAGCCCAATTGTCAAGTTCATTCCGATAAGTTAGAGTCTGTTCAAAAACAATTTTTACTTTTTGCATTACGACATTTCCGTTGGAACCCTACATTAAATCTTCCTCTCCATACCAAGCGCTTAAAGCTTCTCGCAAGTCTTAGAGAAATGCGAATTGTTCTTAGTGAAACTTAACGAATCAATTTGTAGTTCATGCGAATTGTTCTTAGTGAAACTTAACGAATCAATTTGTAGTTCATGGCTCTTATCTGAGGTAAACTTTAATCTTCCAACTCGTGTGTCTAGGCAGTTTAGGCCTTTACTATTGAAGTCATGTAAAACCAATAATGAATGGAATGAACCTTTTCGCCGATTATGTCACAATTTTAAGTGGCGTTCGATCATCTTTTGATCTCTCACATTCACATAACATAAAAAAACTGTACTGCAGCTGAACAGTTTTAAATCTCGACGCCTAACAAACGCCTCCCAATCATGACTCGGCACATATTCCGTAAGTTATGCGAATGTCGCCACTCGTGTCGGTTAGGCGGGTGGAGGCTATTCATTGGGCTTATTATTATTATTATTAATTCTAATCTCAGCTACACTTACGGCACCATTAGTTTCGTTTCATCGCCTACATCGCGTAAATATTTTTCGAAACGCGGCAACACTCGTGTATACATTCCGATCTCGACCTCGAATATATCCATTTGCTTTAACATATCTTTCTTGTGGCCCTCAGCTTCTGGCATCGTTTTTATGATCATCGATTTGTTTTTGTGCTCACCATCTGCGCTATATTCCACCGCAGCACGAAACATAATGCTTGCGTAGTGATCGCCCTTCACTGCTGCTGGCGTAATTTTGAAATTTTTTACCTCCACAACTGTGGTATTGCGCTCAGCGTTGCACAGCACCTTCGTCATATATTCCGCATCCAACCATTGTGGAGGTTGCAGTTCGTCTTCATTGTATTCTTCAGGTTTTGGTGGCATTTTTTTTTAATTAGTTTTGTTTATTTTCATTTATTTCTTTTTATTTGTGGCGCACACTGTGCACTTGTTGAGTTATGTTCGACGTTTGAAAGGGTGAATGAGTGAATAATGCTTTAAATAGCTGAACTATGAGCTTTCTATTTTAATTGTTCTTACTATTTGCTTAAAAAGGGTTTTCCAATAGGAGGTATTATTTTTATATTCAAAGGTTTCGCTGTTTATCTGGCGCGTAGCGTCGTCTAGTTGAAAGTAAACGTTGCCAGGATCAAGACCATCCAATTCCGCCCACAAAAAATCACTAATCATTTTCGAAAAAATATGATCCAATGTCCCCACCCGACCATAAGCCGCACCAATAACGTTTGCACGTTAAGGTTGCAGAGGCTTTTCAGCAAATAAATCTTTAGTTCTCGGAGCCTCAAATGCGACAGTTTTGCTTAGTGACGTAGCCATCGAGGTGGAAGTGGGTTTCATCAGTGAAGATGAATTTTAATATTTTCAATACGTCGTTGAAGTTTTATAACTTGTGTACTTTTAACTTGTCAAATGTCAACAAATTATAGCTTCAGAGATGACAGCTATCGGAGAAGAAAGCTTTACAATATAATGTTTGATAAGGTTTGACAAGAGGAAATCATAAAAATGATTCGTTATTTACGTCATCTTATCTAAACGTTAAGTGTGCTGGGCACAAGCACCTACTTGATTTGATTAAAATCTAAAATACTTGAGTTTTAAAACAACTAGTAAATTATTTGAAAGATGTGATCTACATCATTTAATTCTTGAAACTTCAAATTTAGTCGGGTGAGTACAAATTAAACAAAAATTAAAATAAATATAATTTGTTGAAAAAAAAATTAAAAATAAATAAACTTATTATTAATAGTATGAAGCTGATGCACAGTCGCACTGATGCTGGTGGGAGCTCAGTCGACGTGACTCTACTAGAATTTAAACTAGTCAAAAGCAAACTAGTTGGCTTCTAGTTAAAAACTAGTAAGTTATTCTACAGGTTATTTACTATACATATATCTTTATGTTTCTGTTAATATTTATTAGTAGGCCGCTGAATAGAATTTCTAACAATAGTAAATGCACATGCAATGTAAGGTCGCTCATGAGGAGAGTCTAAAGCAGAGCGAGCTGAGACATGAAACTAGTTTTGACACGAAAAGTAAGTAAACAACCTTTACATAAAACGTCTATTTATTTCAAGTTCAATTTGAGCTTTTTAGCGGTAAAGCAGCTTGGAAAAATTTTCAATTTAGCTCGTCGTCACAAAAGAGCTTATTTTATGATAAATTAAATATCAGTACCGTAAAATATAAGGTGAGCAAATATCAAGTTTAGAATTGTAATAATTTATTCTTATCACTTATTTTTACATTGTTTAGTTTCAAGAATGACTTGCATTATATTTATTTTCTACAACAAAATTAAAACTATTGTACATGATACAGGGTGCGTATCCTTTTTCTTTCATAAAGAAATTTAAAAACCGATTTACACTGCAAACCATTTTGCTTTAAAAAACGCTACGCGAGAAGCATGACAAAGTTATAGAGAATCAAATGAGTGATATAGTATTTAAGAGCCAGATTAAATATATGTATATATATATATATATATATATGTCTCGGTCGCGATAGCCAAGTGTTGTCATTCGCTTGAGCATAAATCTAAAATTATAGAAACCCATTTATCTTTTTACACCCAATACTGTTAACACCCTGTATATTTAGCAGCATTGTTTTGTAACCGAAGTGCTATTTAATATTTATCTCATACATTAAACAGATACGACTACCACAAAAAAACATTGACAATGAAAATTATATAACGAGTACGAGGTTCCTTCAAAAAATGTGGCGAATTTACTGGGATATACATATTTTGCTGGTTAGTTAACTTGTGAGAAATGTTTGCTAAAATTTTGTGTAAAAAATATATATGCTAACCCAGTGGGGCTCACATAGACGAAATACATACAACAAACCCCCAAGGAGGGGGAAAGTTGAATATATAACAGTGTTAGATCAAAGATGCTAGTCATCTACAACGATGACTCACAACTAGAAGGTAGTGGGGTGTTTATCAATCACAATCGACATTTAAAAGATGCTTTTCGGCCACTTCAGTGCTGCCAAATGCTTATTTAACTTTGCAGCTGGCTTAACCGAACACTGTCTGATGGGCACTCATGAAAGAAGGACTGGTTACTTCTATAATGCCTTTTGCCGCAGCTAGAAAGACATAGACGACGAGAAGTCGGTCGGGCGTTACCTCTGCTACTTCTTGGAGCCAATATCGTTTCCTCCCAGTTCTTTCCATATTTTCCTTTCTATGGCTCGCAGTACTTTTACCGAAAGGTTTGAGCATGAAAGTAGTCTCTGTTCTCTGGTCTACCACATAAACTTACTATAGGAGAAGTAACCCAAAATGTCAGCTAATAAATGCAAATTCACATTATTTTTGGAAAACGTCTCGTATTTGAAGAGCGTCCTATATCATATAATGAGATATAAATGTGTACACATTGATACACATATACAATATTGGAGAAGCTAATTCGCAAATGTGAATAAGGTTAAAAATATGCTGCGTAATTGTGAGGCAATCAATTTGTATTTTAAACAGTTTTCAGAGCACTCCAATGTGCCTCACCCCTTCAAACAACTGGTGATTATAACTGAATTATTAGCAGCTGTTTGTAGTTGATTTAATGTGATTGATGCTGTCCATCAAATTTCGCATGAATCGAACTATAAATATGTTATTGTCGTAAAAATAGATCATTGGTTCACTTTCCGGAATAAGGTGAAATTTCCTTTTGCTCAAGTTTCTTCATTCCAAATACGAATTATTTCAGAAAAATTTGGTCTAATCAGTTGAGCCGTTCTCAATTCAAGAAAATCTGTAGATTTATTTCCACAAATAAAATTTGTTGTAGACAGAGTTTTCCATTGTGCGAGGTCGCATATGTAATAAATATTAACCACATTTCTAGTTTTGAGAATCTCACATAACTATTTCCAATTTCCAATACACATGTCTTTGAACCACTTCGCGAAAAGAATAGTAAAAATGGGTCAGTCCCAGATTATGATAAATTATCTCAAAAAATTTCATATTTCAAAAGATTTCTATAAACGTATATCGTAGATATTATCATATTTCATTTATTTTCAAATTTGATCTTAAAAATTAAGCACTGAAACTAACATTTAGCCAAAATCTCATAAATTCATCTAAATCTTAATATTATTCTTCAAAATAACCTAGATGTTTAAGTTTAGGCAGCAACTCTATCATTTCATCCAAAAAGATTTTGTTGCTGTAAAACTCTTTGCGAAAATCATTTGATGTCATCAATTTAACCAAGTCCACTTTAGGATCAAGAAAAGCATAGAAGATGGGAAGAAACGAGCTCAATAGGAAGAATTCTGAAAATTAGTAAATAGTAAAAGCAAAAAATTATATATTTTATCAGTAATTTCTAAAACAACATTATATAACAGAATCCGAAAAAAATCTATTTTACACCCAATATCGTTAACAAAAAGAGGAAACTGTACTCACCGAAGTGCTTATGCTCCACAAGCTGCTCACGTAATCTCACTATTTTTGGCAATTCACCTTTAAAGCCGACTTTCTTTAATGTTTCTGAGAATACTGTGAAATAGTAGTATAAGAGAGCGGAAAAGTCTTTACGTAAATCTTGGTCAAGCAGCATATATTTTGAGTATAATAAATCGTTGGCAATCGGGCCGACATAGCACATTTGATAATCTAGAAGCATTACATCTTCAAGCCGTCCACTAATAGGATTGTGCTTGAACATCATATTTCTGATATGAAAATCTCCATGATTAAGTACATAGTATGCATCTTCCTTTGGCGCATTCCGGAATTCAGCGAAACTTGTTCGGCACTTTCGCATCAAGTCTTTGCTCAGCGGCTCAAAATATGATATGTACTCATGAAGAGCTGGCGTAGCCTTTAGAAATTCAACAAAGTTTTTTATACCGCCACACATCATTTCGTCTTCCTCAATATTTGGTATTTCAAAAATACTGTTACGGTATTTGTCCAGAAATTGTGGTTCCTACGGAGAGCAAACATTTAACAGAAGCTAAAATAAACAAATTGAAGACGGACCTCTTTCACGATTTTATAGGAAGTGGCATGTAATTTAGCCAACTTTCCGTACACAAACATAGCCTCCTCTCTGTTGACAAAACGCCCACGAATCACTTCAAACCCTAGCGGTACGATATCTTCAAAAACAATGACTTTTCTCGGACTTAGCGTAGCGTATAAACAGCTAAAAATTATTTGATGATTTATGTTTAAAATCGAAATGAGCCACACTTCATTATTATTCTTCACTAAACTTACCATGCTTTCAGCACTGTTTCATCCCCAACATCTCGCAACATTTGTTCAAGTCGTGGCAGTACTTCCACATACATTCCTATTTCCGTTTCGAAAACTGCGGAGTTACTTATCAGTTCCTTTTTGTGTCCCTCTATTTCGGGCATTGCTTTAATTATCATAGATATTTTTTTCTCTTCATCATTAAGCTGGTAATCCACAGTTGCTCGAAACATCACAGTGGCATAATGATCGCCCTTTTTAGAAGCAGGCGCAATTTTTGTATGTAGTATTATCAGCTTGAACTCTGACTTTTCGCAATTACTCAATACTTTCAAGAAGAACTCATCATTCAACCATACTGGTGGATGCAACTCATCCTCGTTAAACTCTTCATTATTCGTCGCCATATGTGTTTTCGTATAAAGATATATATTTTCCTATGCCTAACGATCACAATATCTTTTACTGACCAAGCGAAGTAGATAACTGTTAAAGCTAAATTTGGACTACAAAATATATAGCTTCCTGGGAGGTACTTAAAATTTCATATATCTGGCTAATATTTATCAATAAATGAGAATCGCAAAAAGCTTACCGTCAAGTGTTGCTCTGGTGAAATAGTTGGGTGTTTAAATGAGCTTTTTTGCTCACTTAAACTATAGAAACGTGACAATATTAGAAAATATGCCATCAGTTCTACGCCTCTTGCCACATAACTCGAAACCCTAATTTAAACAATCAAACAAGGCTAAAAAATAAAAAAAAAATAATAGAAATAAAATAAAACAAAATAACATAAAAAAATAAAATAAAATAAAATAAAATAAAATAAAATAAAATAAAATAAAATAAAATAAAATAAAATAAAATAAAATAAAATTAAAAAGGAAAAATTAAATAAAGAAAATTTAAATAATAAAATAAAATAAAATAAAATAAAATAAAATAAAATAAAATAAAATAAAATAAAATAAAATAAATTAAAATAAAATAAAATAAAATTAAAAAGGAAAAATTAAATAAAGAAAATTTAAATAATAATATAAAAACATTAAAATGAAATAAATAAAAGTATATAAAATAAAAGAAAATAGAATAAATTAAAATTAAATAAAAAAATAAATTAAATTACAACAAATAAACAAAAATAAATCTTGTTAATTAATACAAAATAAAAAGAGTAAAAAATAATATAAAATAACATGATATAAAAAATTGAGATAAATTTAAAAAACTTAGTTTATATTAAATCAAATAAAATGAAAGGGCAAAAGAAAAGATAATTAAAAATATGAAAGTAAATTTATTAAATGGCCCAGTGTTTAATAGTACAAATTCTAATGTGACTTACTCGAATCGTCTCGAAATATATAGAAGGGAGATATTTGTAATCGATTAGTTTTTCGGAGCAAGAATAATCATAAAGACGGTTTGCCAACATGTGGCAATCAACGTAGCCACACTGTTTTGCCGTCTTATGTAGATCGCACTGCTCAAGTGAACAACCCTTCCTTAAAATTTACCAAGTCGTTTTACGCAAAAAATCGAGCAATTATTATTTAGTTTATTTATTTATTATTTCTATATTTCTGTTTTAATGGTAGAAAACAATTCATTTGACTTATTTAGTTTCCATACAGTTCTTAATGATACAAAAATACACGTTTTTGAAAGAAAAAAAAAACACTGTTAACTACTCAAAATGCTTGTAATAAAAGGACTTTAATTCAAAATTCATGAAATTTAATTTATTTAGAATACAATTTACAAATTGACAATGGTATAATTCTATAAATTTATATTTTAGAATGAATTTGGCGATAACTCAGAAACCGTTGTTTCTATTGAAATGAATAAATGAATATTCCACTTAAAGAATAGTTTAGTAACATTTTGTTTTCCAATTACCATAAAATTAAAGGCAAAATAAACGCGCTTTTTATTCTCCTTAATAAACAGTCAGACGAAACCATTAATGCTCCAGATAATCTTTATGAAACACACTAAATTTGTCTACCTGAGATCTTTCCGATGCAATTATATTTCTCTCAATCAATCAATTTCTCAAATCTTCAATATCTTTAAAAACTAGCCTAATTTTCATTTTCATTATCAGAGACGTTTGATTGAATACTATAGTTTTCCTATGATTAGTATTAACAAAAGCAATCACATATCATATTTCATTTATTTCCAAATTTGATCTTAAAAAGTATGTACTAAAACAAAGGCACAGCCAAAATCTCATAAATTCATCTAAATCTTAATATTATTCTTCAAAATAACCTAGATGTTTAAGTTTAGGCAGCAACTGTAGTATCTCATCCATAAAGACTTTTTTGTTGTATAAGCCTTTGCGAAAATCATTTGATGTCAGCAATTTAACCATGTCCAATTTAGGATCAACAAAAACACTCATGTTGGGAAGGGCCGAACTCAATAGGAAGAAGTCTGCAAATTAGCATATAATATTATATTAGTAAGCAATTTTATCTTTTCTCAGTAAAATATTAAACAACATTAAAATAATATAAGTTTTCGCTTAAATCTTATTCTTCTTCACTTTCGATAGTTTATCTTCTGTCCTTGTATACTCTACTGAACTTGCAACGGTGATAGCCGATGGGCGCAAAATTAACACAACCTACCGATGGTGTGCTGAAGAAAATTGCTATGAATTATTAAGGTAGTCAGTGAGTTGTCTACTCGTACTCGTGGGCTAAATAGCTTTCTACTACGTGAGGAAGTAAAACTTAATAATAAATTTTATAACAGAATCCGAAAAAAATCTTTCTTACACCCAATATCGTTAACAAAAAGAGAAAACTGTACTCACCGAAGTGCTTATGCTCCACAAGCTGCTCACGCAATCTTACTATTTTTGGCAATTCATCTTTAAAGCCGACTTTCTTTAATGTTTCTGAGAATACTGTGAAATAGTAGTATAAGAGAGCGGAAAAGTCTTTACGTAAATCTTGGTCAAGCAGCATATATTTTGAGTATAATAAATCGTTGGCAATCGGGCCGACATAGCACATTTGATAATCTAGAAGCATTACATCTTCAAGTTGTCCACTAATAGGATTGTGCTTGAACATCATATTTTTGATATGAAAATCTCCGTGATTAAGTACATAGTATGCATCTTCCTTTGGCGCATTCCGGAATTCAGCGAAACTTGTTCGGCACTTTCGCATCAAGTCTTTGCTCAGCGGCTCAAAATATGATATGTACTCATGAAGAGCTGGCGTAGCCTTTAGAAATTCAACAAAGTTTTTTATACCGCCACACATCATTTCGTCTTCCTCAATATTTGGTATTTCAAAAATACTGTTACGGTATTTATCCAGAAATTGTGGTTCCTACGGAGAGCAAACATTAAACAGAAGCTAAAATAAACAAATTGAAGACGGACCTCTTTCACGATTTTATAGGAAGTGGCATGTAATTTAGCCAACTTTCCGTACACAAACATAGCCTCCTCTCTGTTGACAAAACGCCCACGAATCACTTCAAACCCTAGCGGTACGATATCTTCAAAAACAATGACTTTTCTCGGACTTAGCGTAGCGTATAAACAGCTAAAAATTATTTGATGATTTATGTTTAAAATCGAAATGAGCCACACTTCATTATTATTCTTCACTAAACTTACCATGCTTTCAGCACTGTTTCATCCCCAACATCTCGCAACATTTGTTCAAGTCGTGGCAATACTTCCGCATACATTCCTATTTCCGTTTCGAAAACTGCGGAGTTACCTATCAGTTCCTTTTTGTGTCCCTCTATTTCGGGCATTGCTTTAATTATCATAGATATTTTTTTCTCTTCATCATTAAGCTGGTAATCCACAGTTGCTCGAAACATCACAGTGGCATAATGATCGCCCTTTTTAGAAGCAGGCGCAATTTTTGTATGTAGTATTATCAGCTTGAACTCTGACTTTTCGCAATTACTCAATACTTCCAAGAAGAACTCATCATTCAACCATACTGGTGGATGCAACTCATCCTCGTTAAACTCTTCATTATTCGTCGCCATATCTGTTTTCGTATAAAGATATATATTTTCCTATGCCTAACGATCACAATATCTTTTACTGACCAAGCGAAGTAGATAACTGTTAAAGCTAAATTTGGACTACAAAATATATAGCTTCCTGGGAGATACTTAAAATTTCATATATATGGCTAATACTTATCAATAAATGAGAATTGCAAAAAGATAGCCGTCAAGTGTTGCTGTGGTGAAATAGTTGGGTGCTTAAATGAGCTTTTTTGCACACTTAAACTGCAAAAAGCGCGACAATATTAAAAAACTGGCTAACATTATCGCTGAAATTTTCGAAAAACACACATGTGTTTATATATTTCAAATTTCTTGTTACCATCGCTATCATGAAACACTCCCAATACGTTATATTTCAGTTGGAAAGTGTTCCTAAGAAACCAACAAAATAAATTTTAGAAATATGAACTAAAATAAAATAAAAACATTGAGATATAATAAAATAAAATTAAGAAAAATAAAATAAGGTGAAACAAAATAAAACAGAATTAAGTAAAATAAATAAATCCAAATGTCTGACCCTCCCGATGAAGGTAACGCTGTGGAGTAGCTCTTATACCAAACCAGCAATCTAAACCTATTAAAAAGTGATTCCAAAAATGCTAATTATTTGGCAATTAATCGAATTGAAAGTCATGAGACTCTCTCAAAAGTGTCCACATTTCTCATAACAAAGGTTATTGCCTCAGTTTGTGACGGTGAAGTCGAAATGTGTAAGAACTCAGGAAATGGAAGACTTTTAGTTAAAACAAAAGTAAACTGATGACATTGCCTGCATTTACGTGTCTGAACACAATTCGTTTAACCACTCAAAAGGTGATATATTCTCTTGCGAGTTGGTAGTAGTAGTCTCAAGCAGTAAGCGAAATCAATAAAATAATGAAATAAGTTGACCAAATCTTAGTCGAAACAGGACCGATTATCCTCACCTTCGGCAAATCTTAACTACTCAGCGATATTGTTATCGGATATGATAAAATTAGAATAAGACCCTATATACCGCCTCTACTCAGGTGCATGGATTGTATAAGATACGGGAGCTCATCAAAAATATTAAAAACAAAAATATGCACAAATTGCTCAAATATCGCTCATGTTGACCTTGAAGTCAACGAAAAGTGCTCTGACTTAATCACTTGGAAAAGCTGCACCAATATTGGAACTGAAAATGCCGACCACAATGCACTCGACAAAGGTTTAAAATTTTTGTTTAACAAAAATAAATACAAACAATAATAACATTAGAAAAAGTTGACAGACGAAGAGCAATAGCCATATACGACCAACGACATCATCACAGCTCAGAAACCTACCCATAAAAAATGAGAAAAACAAACCAATTAGTCACTAACAATCAAACTAACAACACTTACACCAATAATACCGACCTACCGCCCTCATCAACACTAGCAACAAAAACAATGAAAACCAGCAGCATACATACTCTCAACTTCCAGCAACAACAGCGACCTTCCACTCAACTTCATGGATCTAACACACACATCCTTATTTCCACACTCATCAGCAAACAGACAGAGAGAGCAAGCAGACTACTCCGACTTAAGCACAGTTGTAATAACATCACAAGCACACATACTGCAATACAAAACTCGAAAACAAAAAAAAAAAACAAAAAAAAAACAAAACGAAAGTATACCTAAAAAACATCGCCAAAAGAACTAGAGCTTTGTTGAATAGAATAAAAAAGTTAAATAAATAAGCCAAGCAAGACTCGATCATAATGTTACCTATTGAAGACAGCGATCTATTGCTATATCTATGGATCAAAAATCGACTCGACTTTCCGACCATTTCATCGTATACAAGAAAGCCACATCCCAGCACAATAACAAAATATTCCAATTCCAAACAACTTCCTTCAAATCACTCTCATCATACGGTATACAACACGAACTAATTCAGAATGAAAAGTAGTTTGAAAACATAACATAAGAAATACATTCCGCAAAGAAATTTAGAATCACATTAGCTTATTGTCCCCCAACGTCTAGTTTCCATTCCCACAACTTAGAAAATCCCTTAGTCGAAACAACCGCCCAAATAACCACCCAAATAATCACTCAAAACTGGTTTTTTCAATGATATGCTTTGAAGTAATACAAAATATATAGATATATCATATATGGGTTATTCGGATATCAATCCTTCGAAACAAAAAGAAAATATTTAAAAATCTTTCCTTGAAATATAATAAAACCATCATAATACCCAAACTATGAAAACGATTGTTGACCTCGGATCAGGAGAAGTCCGTACAGAACAATTTTCTTATTAAACTGAATTTGATAAATAATTTCAAAATTTGCTTGTTCGAAGTTCGACATTAACGAAATGCCAATAGGTCTCTGAGCTTTGCTTATTCCCTGCCTTTATTACTTTCAACATCAAAAAAATTTTGACATTTTTTTCACAGTGCAGTTTCACGCATTATCAGGTGCCAAAGGACTTCATATCCATAATGCATGAAGTCGGCACTCACAACAGCGCTCATATTTCAAATCTTTTCATATGAACATTTGTAACTTTCCTTGTGTACTAAAATTAGTATAGGAGGATAATGACGAAGGGGGCAGCATAAATAGAAACAATGTAAACATGTTGCGCTCTTCGATGCCGGTATTACTGCAATTGGTAATTACAGCAGCCACCACTTGAGAAAGTATGCAAGTTGTTAGGTACTCACAGGCAAATGGGGGCAAGTAGAATACTAATACTTAGCATATGGTAAAAACAATGGTATTTTTGAATTTTTTTACATTATCTACACTCTACATATACGTTGTGATTTCAAGAGAATTCTGCTAATTTTGTTATTGGTGTACCAAAGTCAACTGTTAAAGGTGGTGATCATGCCCGCGCTCAAATCGGTACATAAAACGTTGTGTTATTAATGTGAGAGTTCGACAAAGATTTTCTTGCTGCACGATAAGCTATATTTCAGACCTGATTTGCATGTTTTTGCCGATTAAATTATTTTATTTATCTCTCGAGAATAAAAACTCGAATGCTGTAATCATCCTTACCCTGCGTTGCACAACAGGTCGCGTGTAATGGAATGTCTTCTTCGGTAATAATGTATACAATATAAGCTAATTGGTATCAGAACTCGATGGTATGACCTTTGGCGTGGAAAACTGGACAGCTTAGATATAGAAATTTTATGTTTACCATAGCGACAGTTGAAAGGTTGATTGGTATTGAAAAGGGTTGCTAACAGGATATAAATCATAAGAACGTTGGCAATGACCCTCACACTTATATAAACATCACAATAACTGATGGAGTGGAACTTTTTTTAACTCGAAATGAAGGGTATGTGAATGATAGAAGACAATACATTTTTTTTTAGTGGTTAATTAGAACCACATACATCACATACAGAGAGACAACGGATAACACTTCGGGTATTGTGATAATGTGAAAAGCAACGAGTAACTACACAGTTAACCGCTATGGTCAGTTCATATCTGAAAAAGAAACTCAAACTAGGGAGAACAGCAACGGATGAATGCCGTGCTGGTGAAATTATTCTTAAACACATTACTGATTAACCGCGATAAAAGTAGTGAAGTGGTTTGATTTCAATATACACCGTCGAACAGCCGTTATTGAATGCAGTCAAAAGTAGTTAGGGTCTACTTAAAAGAGTAATAACTGTAAAGATCTCATTGAAAAAGAGCTTGAAATGAAATCGAAGCAATTAAATATCAATATTTTTATCAAAGTGTTTTTCTCTTTAAGTTGAGTCTTTGATCCAATGTAACTGCCAAGTAAGAATTGAAATCTTTCAATGGTTTTTGCTATTTTTTTATTTTGATCACCATTTTATTTCAATGAACATTTACTTTTTAAAAAGAAAGTAGCACTTTCAATTGAATTGTTTTTTTTTGACGTGGTGCTACGCGGCCGGTATCGGCCGAAATGTTGGAAAGAGTTTGCCAAAATTAGACCAGGCAGATGGACCAATAGAGGCGCAGTTATGGTCAGCATCTACATGAAATAATCTTCAAACATTAAATTATATGGACTGTACTATCGATTCAAATAAAGATTTGATGCATTTTTGTAAATTTAATGAGTTTTTTTTTTGAAAAACTTTTTTATAGCTCTTAAAAAATCACCTTTTATTTTTTTTTAAATTTTTCATTTAGTGCTGTGTTAGGCTATGCGGAGGCCCTTTTTTTTTTTGATCTTATGTTGTCAATATATTTTTAGATTATGTGTGCATTATATCGATGATTTTCTATGGATCTTTAATAGAAAACTTCATATTTTGAAATCGGTCTTCTTGTTTCTAGAAAATATGTATTTGATTGCGCAATACCTACGTCTATTTTCATGCCATTAGATGCATGAAGATGATCTGAACGACTCCGATAAATGATGAATACAATACGAAAATACACCCAAATACTATGTTTCGATCAGATGTCTCAAAAGCTGAGAGACCAGTCGAGCAGGCGAAGCAACTCAGCTCACCACTTTAAGCACATCGATGTAAATTACAGTATACTTAACTCTCTAGTTCTGACACTTGTAAATAATGAAGGGTTGATACATAGAAGAACAGGCCTCCCCTCCAAAAATAACTGAAAATTCCAGTACAGCGAGTTGAAAAAATGTCCGTATATAGGAGGCGCAAAGTATGCACATCCACAATCCGGTGTTATCAAAACCACATTTTCTCTTATCTTAACTATTGCCTTTATTAGCAATTGCGACTTACACCGGTAATCTTTGTGCAAAAATGAAAATTTTAAATAGAAAAAAAGTAAAAATATACTTTATTGATCATGTAAGACTTCAGGTTTTATTTATTCATTTATTTCATTTTTTTAATTGTTCCTAGCAAAACTAATCTTCAAGGTAACCTAAATGCAGATAGCGTGGTAATGCCTGTTCCAAATATTTTATATAATCCTTTGAATAGTACAATCTTCGCCGAAAGTCACCGGATGTCATAACAGTTTCAATATCATCGATCTTGTCATTCATTGCATACCACATTGGTAAAAATGTTACAACAAGAAAAATCTCTAAAGCAAGGAGAGAAAGGTGAGTGAAAGGTGAACGAAAAGTAAATTCATTCTATTGATAATAAAGAGTATGATGTACATATGTATGTATTGTACTAATTAATAAATAGTGAAGTGAAGTGCAAATATTGTACTTGAAATCGTTTTTGAAGACACTTAATGCTTACCAAAGTCCTTACAACGGTAATAATCTAGACGTAGCTGCATAAGTGTTGGTAATGTGCCATTGTAGCCGATTTTAATTAAAGTACTTTTGAATACCGTGTAATAGTAGTACAACATAGTATTGAACTCTAAGCGCAGATTCTCATCCAACAGTAAATAAAGCGAATAAATCAAATCATTCACAAGGGGACCAAAATATGACATTTGAAAATCCAAGAGCATTACATCTTTCAGTTCTCTGCTTTCACTCTGGTATTTAAACATCATATTCTTCGAATGAAAATCACCATGACAAAGCGCATAGCAAGCGTTCTCTTGCGGCGCCTCACGGTATTCAGCAAAAGAGGCGCGACACTTGTCCAAGAGTTTTGGCTTCATTGCTTCGAAGTATGGCAAGTATTCTTGCAGAGATGGTGTTGCTTTCAACATATCTACAAAATTTATTATACCATCGGTTATGAAAGGTTCGTCAACTATGTTTGACAATGTAAATATGCCTCGTCTGAATTCGTCAAAATAATGCGGCTCCTAAACGAAGTAGATTTTGCGTTATTTTACTCCATATCAATATATAAATATATATATATTATATAGAGTCAGTCTAATAGACTTTGTGATAATAACCTCCAGACCAATTTTGTAACTAACAGCATGCCATTTGGCCAACTTTTCATATGCCGCCTTCACCTCCGTCTCATTGAGCACGCGATCCCGCACCACTTCATAACCGCTGGGTACAAGATCTTCAAATACAATGACTTGTTCAGGTTGCAGAGAGCTGTATAGGCAACTATGAAAACAAATAAAACATTAAGCAGTAGTTTGTAGTTTTATTTTCATATCAATTATAACACTTACGGCGCACCAAGTACCGTATTATCACCACAATCTCGTAAAATCTGTTCAAAACGTGGTATAACATCGGTGTACATATTTATTTCCGTTTCGAAAATATTCGATTTGCCTAACATTTCCTTTTTGTGCCCCTCCGTTTCGGGCATCGTTTTCACGATCACCGACTTCGTTTGTGCAACGCCATCCAAATCATAGTCCAACAACGCACGAAACATAACACTCGCATAGTGATCCCCCTTCATGGAGGCCGGCGATATTTTCGCATTATTCAAGATGATTTTGTTTGTTTTGTTTTCACAGTTTGTCAACACTTTCAGAAAGAAGTCATCATTCAACCATTCAGGTGCCTGCAATTCATCGGCGTTGAATTCATTTAAGTTTTCGGACATTTCAGACAATTCGTTTTCGGCATCCGTTCACGCAAAGCGGGCAGTGTTTATTCAAAGAATTCACAAATTTGACTAAACAAAAACTTTCGAAATTTTAGTTTAATGCCAGTAATAAATTTATCTATAACTGAGTGCTCTCGAACTATGCGTTTGCGTTAATTTACCAACAAAGCTCATTGCTCTTCATGGTAGCGTATTCAACTATTTAGAAAAGCTTTCTAACCTGTTTTGCCCGAACGTCCCGCATAATATACATTATTACCAGTACACAAGTACAAAAAGTAATTTTTACATAAATAATAGAACATTACAACGTTACATAAGAAATTATCACTTGCAGATACAAGTGTGCACCTAACTAAGTACATTAGATTGATCCAAAAATCCCCATGAAAGGCTAAATTACGACTCCGGCACTGCTTTTCGTATAACAGTATTTTTAACGCTCCCAGGTATTATACTTTTGTAAATTGTTTGTTTGGAAAATTTTGTTTAAATTATGAGAGCTTTTTTACATTTAAATTAGGTACACGAAATATTGTGAAATTCGTATTTCCCTGAAAGCTTATAGCGGGTTTTTTTCTTCGCCGCAATACCAGTTTATGCTGGTTGAGTGATTTTTCGAGTGTAGTTGAGCCTCGGTAGTTATCTTATCGACATTTATCGTTCCGCCCATCGGTATATAACAATTGAAGCATTCTCCATTACGTTACTAATTGTGTCTGAGGTTTTGTAGCATTTGTCACTAGTCTACTGCCTCTATAAGTAGATATTTCACTATTGTTAAGAATCTTATTTTCTATTAGTAACCACCACACTGTTGGTGGTGGCAGTATGCCCCAATGGGATGGAAAAATCAAGTGTATCTACCCTCTTTACACGCCGTCGGTATTAATGTGGCTTAAGTCTTTCTCCAAGTCGCATACAAATGATTCAACTTCAAACATCCTTCCTACATTGCCATCAGGTTTGGTGGCAGTGTTGTTGATACTTTTTGCATAATTATTGAAAAAAAACATCATCCGTACTTGAAGATTCAACGACGTTCTAGAAATTGGAAGTACACCCTGGGAACTAGGCTTATGTGCCCTTTAGTGAATCCTCATCGGATTCAGTCCACTTTCCACGTTTTTTTGGGAAATAGTACAGTAAAAGTCCATTGCCTGGTTAAGTTACAAATATTTCACATAAATAAAAGATTACCCAATTATCGAATTTTAACAATTATTACGGTAGATAAATATATATTTTTTTTTGCGAGATCGATCCCTCGTCCACTAGTTCAATTCATTTGGCATTATAAAAGTAATAATTTCAAATTTCCATTGCATTGCTATGCCACCCATTCAAAAATCTTCAGAGACTTATATATTTATAGAAGATATGTATAGACATGATGTAGCTATCTACGAACGATCATAACTATTTTTATTGCTTTTGTTACATATATGATACAACTTGCTCCGTGATCAATTCTTGTACGAAGATACAGTATAAAAATTTAACAAAACCAACCCACATAATAATTTGCCTCAGAAAGATTGGTACCTGAACGCCACTGCAAAGGAAATAATTTTCCAATTTTAAAATTAATTAAAAAGCTACCTGTGTACCAAATTACAATGAAAAGTATTTTGTGGGATAGATCAGTCCTAGGTCCACTTTCTGCAGAAAACAACTTCACAGGAACAGGAGCTAAAATTTTCAACAATATCATCTAAGTGGTTTTGGATTTGATTTCATTTCATTTGATTTCTTTTACTTGTACGCTGCCATATAGTTTCTGACTCGTTTGAAAATGCAATATAACCGTCATTAAAATATGCAAACTATCGTGTTTGTACAAGGGTTCAAGTCTGAGATACTGCATCGACGGTGCTCAAGCTGTGGAAAGCTTTTGAATTTTTTTCTTTTCGTATTCACAATCCAATTTGATCGCACCAGAGAAAGAAAGCTCACATGCAAAATATCTCAAAAGTGAAAAAGGCAAAAGTGATTCAAACGCCATAATTTACAGCTACAGTTACAATTTGAGTTTAGACGCGACTTCGTTAGCAAAGAATTCGATAAATATTATAAGAACATTATATAATATTATTTAATATGAAAATAAAATAAAATTTTCATATAATTTTACGAAAAAGAAATAACAGAACGCAGTAACGCAGAATTTCTTTTTGGATACAATTTTTTGTTTTTCTGTCAGGTGCTAGAATCAACATTCGACTCTGTGAACTTTTTCGGGAGCTTGCCATATACAACTAGCCTTAAGAGAAGTGTGTCTCTCTCAAATCTACTTCTGTTGACTTAAAAGTTTGATCTTCAGTTTTTTTAAAAAAAGCAATTTTTATGTGCTACGTTCTCTCTCTCTTTATTTTCATGCGTCCAGCTCTTCGCTAGTTCTCATTCGTAGTACCCTTGTTCTTCGTAGATAATTTATTATGCCAAAAACAATTTTTTGCTGACTTTAAAGTTTGTACTTTGAATTATGAAAGTGAGACTGTTTTTGCGAGTTTATAACAAAAGAGTATATCCGGAAGAGAAAGTATTGACAAAGATAAATACATATAATATTTTTTTAATAGATTTGTCTCCACAAAGCTACTGTCGTACCGGTAAAACTGTTCCACAGATCGGTTCGGGGTCCACTTCTTGGGAAATATCATCGGGAGGTCGTACACAGAACACATCATGATTGGTGGGTTGATACGTCAGTCTTTCAAAGGTATGGTACACATTTTTTTTTGTTGTAATTTTTTGATTCTTTCTCGGATGCCGTGGATTTCCAATCTTTTTGCTTAAGTTTTGTTTGCAATGTTTATTATAAAAATTTTAAAATACCTAAAATACGTATTCTACAACTTTTCTTTCTCGAGTTGTTCCAGCTAGTTGAGATCCTTACTTCTTCCTCTAACTATTTTTTAATGGCACCCAGCATTTGAATATTAATTTTAAAAAATCGAGTTCAGAATACCTGAAATTAATATAACAGGTATTTTAGACTGTCGGTTCTTTTTGCGGTTAACGCAGTATATATAATATTGTACAATACATTTCGGAAGTTCTTGGCACGCCTAGTTTGGAACATTTGATTAAATACTTCAACTATTGGTGCTGTTATCAAAATCACATTTTTTCTTATCTTAACTGCTAGTTTTTATCAGCACTTGATAATTCCTTTCACACATTTCTGTCTTCATACCAGAAAGAAATGTGCAGCGTAATGATGAGTTTCGAATTGAAAATGTGGTACAACAGCGTCGTATTATGCAAAACAGCCAAGTATTGTGCAATTATGGGTATATAAAATTCTTTCAAAAACATTCCAACAGAGTGGCAGCATCTTCATACGTACAATATAATCAACCCACTCTCCCAAAGATGAAATAAATGGTGATTTTTTTTTTAATATTATCTTTTTGGCAACTCTGGTTTAAACAGCTGACGCACGTTTCGTGCTTTGTATCTCTGTAAAACAACTTTAGTTTGGTCTATAATTTAACCAGGAATCGTCTTACAAACGAACAAGGCCTCACCGGTTCATTATTTATACCAATTTTTCAAATCCATTTCTTATCCCATTGGTATCCGATTCATGAAAAAAAAATCCAAAAATAAACAAGACAAAACATTGGCTCAGAAGTTCTTGAGTTACGAATTAAAACTACTATTTTTTATATTTTTAAACACAGATTTAATTTGTTTTATTCAAATATTATTTTCTTCTTAATTAAACTAAATCTTCAAAGTAACCTAAATGCAAATAGCGCGGCAAAATTTCTTCCAAATATTTTAAATACCCCTTTGTGTAGTACATATTGCGACGGAAGTCATCGGAAGTCAACGCATTTTCACAACGATCGCCCTGGTCAGTAAATGCAAACCTAATTGGCAAAAATGTTACCACAATGAAAAGTTCTAAAAAAAAGGTGAGACAAATAAATACGAGTACTTTTAAATGTATTCCATCATTGAACGGTTGTTACCAAAGTATCTCTGACGATAATATTGTTGACGTATCTGCTCTAATGTGGGTAACGAGCCAGTGAAGCCGATTTTAATTAGAGTACTCTTGAATACTGTGTAATAGTAGTACAACATAGTATTGAACTCTAAGCGCAGATTCTCATCCAACAGTAAATAAAGTGAGTAAATCAAATCATTCGCAAGAGGACCAAAATATGAAACCTGAAAGTCCAAGAGCATTACATCTTCCAGTTCTCTGCTTACATTTTGATATTTAAACATCGCATTTTTGGTATGAAAATCACCGTGACAAAGCACATAGCAACCGTTCTCTTGCGGCGCCTCACGGTACTCAGCAAAAGAGGCGCGACACTTTTCCCAGAGATTTGGCTTAATTGCTTCGAAGTATGGCAAGTATTCTTGCAGAGATGGTGTTGCTTTCAACATATCTACAAAATATTTTATGCCATCCGTAAGGAATGGCATATCCATTGAAAAGCTTAACGTGAATATGCCTCCCTTGATTTTGTCAAAATAATGTGGCTCCTAAATGAAAAGGATTTATATTGTATTTGTATATATGTTTCACAAAGTGTGTCAAAACAACCTCCAGACCAATTTTGTAACTAACGGCATGCCATTTGGCTAACTTCGCATAAGTTGCTTTGACCTCTTCCTCGCTGAGCACACGATCCCGCACCACTTCATAACCGCTGGCCACTAGATCCTCAAGTACGATGACTTGCTTAGGTTCCAAAGCGCTGTATAGGCAACTGGAAAATATAATAAATTATTAGGCAATGGATTCTCTTCTCACAACCATAACCACATTTACGATGGCTTAAGCACTGTATTATCCCCACAATCACGTAAAATCTGCTCAAAACGTGGCAGAGCTTCGTTGTACATATTTATTTCCGTTTCGAAAATATTCGATTTGTCTAACATTTCCTTTTTGTGCCCCTCTGTTTCGGGTATCGTTTTCACGATCACCGACTTCGTTTGAGCAACGCCATCCAAATCATAGTCCAACAACGCACGAAACATAACACTCGCATAGTGATCCCCCTTCATGGAGGCCGGCGATATTTTCGCATTATTCAAGATGATTTTGCTTGTTTTGTTTTCACAGTTTGTCAACACTTTCAGAAAGAAATCATCATTCAACCATTCAGGTGCCTGCAATTCATCGGAGTTGAATTCATTTAAGTTTTCGGACATTTCAGTCAAGTCGATTTAAGGGCCAATGATTATTAACAGAACTTACAACTTTAATTAAACAAAAACTTTTAAATTTTTCGTTTTATACTATCGAAAACTTATTATCTGTGTTTATTTTTCTTCATCGCTTCGCTCTATCAATTAATTATCGCAAAAAAGATTACTAAATTTCTAGGCTGTCGTTTGAATATCAACAGTTACGTGTGAAATATTACAAGTAATAGAATTTAAGTTTTTTTATAGATACGAGTACAAACTTCTAGGTGAAGAAATACTTTTAGAGTAATCCAAACGGCGGCCGCTGTAGCCGAGTGCTTAGCATTGCTTAGCGCCATTCAGATGATCAGGTTCAAATCCCCGTTAAAAAAATTAAGCTAAATTTTCTAATTGCCAGCCCCTCCGAGTGTATTTCTGACATGAAACAATGCTGAATCTAAATTTTTTGAAAAATAAGTTATCTAGACAGTTCATGGCTTGTTAATCATAAAACTGAAAAAATGCCTTCTTGAAACCTGTGGATATTATTAAATGGAAAATAATTTATTTTTGGGCTTAGGAAATTTACTTTGTTTTATTTAAACATTTTTCTGTTATTACTTGATTAAAATTTTAAATTATTTATTTTTGTAGTTTTATTACTTTTTGATTTTATGACGAACATTAGCAAATAATTCTATAAACTATTCTATTTCTATAAATTTATTGAATGTACACAAAGTTTTCGTAATATATCGAATGACATATATAAAACAAAATTTTAGAAAAATTATAAACAACATTTAAAATTAACTAACACGTAAGCCAAAAAATCAGTGGTTTTAAAGGTAAATTTTGTACCACCCTTTTGCTCATATACAATACATGCATACGTAAATATATGTAAAAATAATTTGTGCTACTAATTGTTACTATTATTCTATACTGATGAACAGGTGTGTAAGTACATAGGTACATGTCTACTGTCAAATACGCTTTTTAAAAATTACTACATAACTAGTGTTCGTAGCAACCACAACTGGCCAAGGTACTGCTTCTCTCACCTGTGGTGATTGTTACATTTCAAAGCTTTCTACCGCACCCAAACGTTCTATAAGAACCCAATAATATGAGCTTTAATAAATACAAGATAATAAAAATTTATCATTTAACAATTTTAAAATGGATGACTGGCTTAGTTTCGTCTTGTTTTGATAAGATTGATTATTATTATAATTATAAGAGATTATTTTCATATGGTTTTAAGTCTCTAATATTGCAGTGGTGCTCAAACTTTTGTAAGCTTTCCATTTTATTATTTAACGTTCCTTATTCACTAGCGAGTTTGATCGCAATAGCAAAACAAAAAAGCTTCGCCGTTGCAAAGCGAAACTCCAGTAAAAGTAGATCAAGAATCAAGTGTTCCATTTTCTGTTGTTTCGTGAATGGATAAAAAACTTTTCTTCACTTTTGTTATCGAATTATATTCTTTGAATTTTTTTAATTTTTATTTTTATTTTTACTTATCTAATAACTAACTTCCGAGTTTATACATGAAGATAAACTTTTAAAAATATCTCGGCTTTTATACCTTTTTGCACCTGGAATGGCAAACTAACCCAAAGTATGTAAGTATCAAAAAGAGAAATGAGCAATGAATGACTCATCTATTTGTACGTGAACTCGTCTTCTAGTTTTTGAATCGGCTGAGAATTTATAAAACTTTTTGGCTCTTCAAAATTTGTGGAGCGAGGGATTGCTGAAGTGGTTTCTAGTTACAATTGAACGAACATTTGTCGGAACCGGCCAGATCGAAGTAGCACAACTTTGGTACAGAAAATTTTCGAAATCGGATGGCGTTAACATGCAGCTGCCATGAAAGGTGTAGGAATCTATTTTAACATTTGTAACTTGCTATTTTCAATTTTTCAATTTTTATTCCTGCAGAAGAAAATAATTGTTTTCAACAAGAATTCCACATCTTTACACCAACTAGTTCATCTTCATCCATTTATCATGTAAGCAACTGGTATGGCGATGCCCTAAAAGCCGATAATTGCACTTTTATGCATCAGACTCATACTAGTTTAATACTAGTTCATTTAGGCATGTTGAGTTTCTATTTCACAAAAAAAAAATGAATCAAGTAAAACTCAGCTCGCCGGCTGCAAGAATCAAACCGGGACCCTCACGCACCACAGTGAGAAACTCTAACCACCAGACTATCGTTATGATATATGAAGGAACGAAATGTGCGCACTTTAACAGAAGTTTTTAAGAAATGAAACTCAGTCATGTCAAACTAAAAACAAAAACTCATTCGTATGTAAAAATTTCTGTTTCACCAAAAATTAGAAAAATAATTAAATATTAAAAAATTCTGTTTCACCAAATATTAAAAAAAAATTAACAATTAATTTGCTCCCAGCGGGGCTCGAACCGGGAGCTTAACGCGCTATAGCGATAACCCCTTATTACTCGGCTATCATAACGATGCAACGATCAACGTCATTTTGCGAAATTCAATAGAACAGAGCAGATAATGGAATTCAGTCGCGGTCTGCCGATATAACAACAACAAACAGTGGTGAAAATTGTTATTTTTCCCGTTACTGGTGAACTATTATACAAATAACGAACTGGTATGATTTCATCTTCAACATACTAGTATTTAACTAGTATTTTTGCATACTAGTTGGGTTTGCCCTGCAGGGATGTGACTGAATTTTCAACTTTAAATATTTTCATTTTCTGAATTATTATGATATAATTTTCATTTTCAAACAAAAAAAAATGTTAAATAAATTTTATTAAAATAAAATATTTATATATTATTAAAAATTTATATGTATATATATCTACATATATATAGAGCTACATATCTAACCGTGCTCTATACAAATGTATGTGAATCTTCAACTATATATTGGGTGGGTGCACAAAAACTTTGCAGTCGATCTCCATAAAGTTTTGCCTAATTATCACAAATATATGTATGTATGTGTTGTAGAGTTGTTGTGCTGAAATATAAAATTTTAGCAATTGATTTATTTCTCAAAGTTTTTTTTCATATTTGATAACAAATTTTCCGGAACGAAATCGAACAGGCCGCTTCTGGGCTCAGCGCTCACTAGCAGCATCCCACCGTGAACTACACAAAGTTTTCGGCAATTTTTTGCTAGAGTTCTTTTTCAGCAGCGAAAACAATCTCAAAAATCGAAGGAAAAAGGTCAAGAAAAATCTTGCTTGAAATAGAAGCTTTCAAGCATCTGTTAGGTTATCGAAATCGGCGTTATGTTGGCCGTAACGAGAGCTTTACAAATACAAAGCGTAGTTTAAATAAATTTTTTCCTAAATTTATGTTGAAATTTTTGGATAAAAATGAAAAGCAGAAAGTTGTTTACATAAAATTCCCAATAACACCGATTTTGATTAATCATTAGAAAATCATTTATAGTGAATTTTTAACTGAGTCCTTTTTTGTAGCATGAATAAGAGCGGAAAGTAGAAAGTGCTGATTTTCTAGTGCTAACGCCGTGTAGGCTAGTTTTAATATTGCTTCGAATTTTAAATGCATTGTAGTGAAAATTAAACATGTTTTTTTCATATTTAATTATTATAAAATTTATTTGTTCTAAACAAATTTACCAAACACTGAGCAAAAAACGCTAAGAGAGACTTCCAAGTGCCAATTATTTATACACAATGTTCAATTAACTCTTAATTGCTGTATACATATGTAAGCAGATGCATTCGATTGTATGTATGAGTATATATTAAAATTATGCAAATAATCTTCTTAAAACATTAAGCTGTGTTAATGCAAAATTTGTCATATTGTAACTTTTTAAATACATTATCATTCTCTACACACATACAATATGCTACATATGTACATATGTACACAAATCATTTGCGATTATTTTGTTGTAATTTTACTTTTTTTCATTTGACAGCTGGCTGGCGGAAGTAATTCACGCAAAATTAAAATCAGCATAAATTAAAAATTGTGTTATGAATACATATCTACAAAGCTATGTAGTACTTGCATATGAGTTTAATTAAAATATTATAAATTTATTGAAAAAAAAAATTATATATTTTTTTTAATATTAAATCAATTTGAAAGATACATATTATGCATGTGGGCATGGAAGTGAGTTTTAATAATTTTCAACATAAATCACATCATAAAATTCATAAAATATTATATGTACATATATGTACATATGTGCTTAAGCATATTTAAGTGTGCTTAATCAATTAGGTGTAAATATATGTGAAAACTTTGTATCTACGCAATTATACATAAAATGTTTCATTTTATTTTTATTTTTTTACTGGCAGTACAACCCAGTGAGCATAAAATAATTGTAACTTAAGATATTTACTCTTCTTATGGCGTATGCACAACTTAGGTGTTTATAGCCGAATCAACAACACCACGACATTCCTTTCTTGGTAATACAGAGTGAGGCCCGCTCCACTTTCACTGCCAACGTCTAAGCGTCTTTACTATAAGATGGAATGGGAATGATGAGCGACTGGTAGAGTTTGTGTCGCCCATCGCAATTGATCGCTTAGTGCAAAGGAGCACCTGTTTGTAAGAGTGATTCTAAGTACGACTGCGTTCTAGAGCTGGTTTCTAGACATACGTAATCGTCTAGAACTTTAAAGTTGTCTGTCCAGAGTGACATAGAACTGATGACGCGAATGCTCCGACTGTTTGCTTGATGTTAAGAGATATTTTGTGCTATCGCCTCACATTACCAGAACCATTCTCCCTATAGACTTATCCAGTATAGAGAAATCGGCGCTTAGCGTCATACGCTGGAAATTGTATAACTTTGTAGAAAATTGTGCCCACTCTGTATTGCAGCTGTTCTCATTTTCTTCAAACATTAGTCACATGAAAGGGAGTCACTTTGTCTGAAACCCCGTTTGATATCGAATGGTTTCTAGTGGTTTGACACAATTCTGACAGATATTATCGAGTTGCTTAGCGTCGGTTTACATAGCCGGGATGCCAAGCTCAGGCGCAGACTGAATTAAAATCGAGAAAGAGGTGGTATATGTTG